ATGGGGTGGGTGTGGGGGGGATCCAGGTGGCCCAGCATTCCTCCGTGTGCATCTGGGGTTTAGATTTGCAGAGAGTCACCAGATGGCCAGCCCGCCAGCCTTGGGGGAAACTGGGGTGCTTTTGACCCAGAGCCCCGAGCTCCCCAGCCAGTAGTTCCCAGCCGAGTGTGGGCCCTCCCTGCATGTTGAGCGGCTTGAGGGGCTAACCCTCCCTCCGCAGCCCCCTCCCCGCCAGGTGTGATGGGTCTGGAGGACCCTCGGGGCCCCTAGTACCAGTCGTTGGTTGGGCTTCCTGGGGCTGAGTCAGCAGTTGCCGGATCAGCAGAATGGTGGTAGTGGGGGGTCCCCCTCCTGCTTGGCCTGGAGCCCAGAAGGGGTTCTGAGGATGTCAGCACTTGGTGTAGGTATGGGATCCTTGGCAGGACATTGGCTGTTTGACCTTGAACCTGGTTCTCTCTGGGTCTCCATCTCCCATCTGTGCAATGGGAGCCCTGGACGGGATCTCCCAGCCCCGTGCAGCTGCGAGGGTGGAGGACCAGCTAGGACTAACCCCACGGCCAAGGTGAGCAGGAACCTGGGTTCTGAGCCATTGCTCTGCCTGACTCCCCCAGCTGCGGGCCCCCAGAAAGGAGGACCCTGCCTTTGATTCCACCACCTGCCCCCTCCCCAACGCTGGGGCTGTGTCCAGGGGGGCGCTGCTTAGAGCTCCTCCATCCTCCTCAGCCGCCCCCAGTCAGCACAGCCAGCAACCCACGGAGGCCGAGGGCTCGCTGCTGTGCGAATGCGGCACCTGGACAGGCCCCTGCCTCCCTCTCTCTGAGATGTCCTCCCTGAGAGATGTCCTCCCCGAGAAGAGAGACCCCGGAAGTGTTGGGGCAGTGAAGCCAGGAGGGGGCCTGGAGGCTGATGGAGGCTGGTGAGCGCCATCTGCCCCTCCTGCGAGGGAGTTGAGTCACGCGTGGCTCCCATGCCACCCTCCTCCCCATGTTCCTGGGCCAAGGCCACACCCTCGAGCAAGGGTAGGGAGTTGCTAAGCCCCAGTTGGGGATCTGGCCATCCTGCCTCAGTTTCCCTAGCTGTTGGCTCCCTTCTTCACAGGGGGTCTCCTCAGAGCATGCTGGGATCTCCCGCCCGTGGGGACTCAGCTAGGGCGTGTTCTCGCCCCTCTCCTAAGGAAAGGCTGGATTCTTCCTGAAGCCCCCCCAGATTCTAGGGCGTCTGGACTTGGCGTAAGAGGAAGACTCAGCGGGCGACTTTAGAGTTACTGCTATCACTGACAACAGCAGCTGTGCCCGGGCCGGTGGCTCAGTGGTTAGAGCATCGACCTGTGCACTGAAGGGTCGAGGGTTTGACTCCTGGTCAAGGGCACAGGGTTGCAGGTTCGATCCCCGGCCCCAGTCTGGGCACACGTGGGGAAGCAATCAGTCGATGTGTCTCTCACATCAATGTTTCTCTCTCGCCGCTCGCCCCCCCCCACAACTCTTTCTCAAAATCAATGGGAAAAACATCCTCAGGTGAGGATTAACAACAAAAATAATAAAAATAATCGCTGTATGTCACCGAGGCTGACTAGGGACCAGGTTCTGCACTTAGCATTTCCTAGGCTTCTGTTAGCACTTCTACTTTACAAATGGGGAAACTGAGGCCCAGAGTGGCAAAGTCACTTGCCTAAGGTCACGCGGCCGGGATCTGAAGCCTGACCGCTCCCATGCACCCACCAGGCTGGGCAGGCCGTGGCCGCGGGGCCTGCTTTCCCACGCCGGGGTGGGGCAGCGGCCGGTCGTGGGAGAGGCCAGGCTCTGGAGCAGGTCGGCGAGGCAGCCCCCTCCCGCCCCTGCCCCTACCTGATAGCAGCCTGATAAGGCCCTTGTGCGTCAGAGCCCGGCAGCTGACGTGTGAGCTCGGCTCCCAGGAGGGGCCGGGGGTCAGGCGGGGTTCACCGGAGGGCGTGTGTCTCCCAGCCGTTTGCTGGTGAGATGCCAGCCCACATCCGCAGTTGGGGAAACCGAGGACCTGGAGCCGCTTTAGAGAAGCTCAGGGTTAGAGAACCCAGAGAGCGCAATGAGATGTAGGGGGTTACCCAGCCGCGGGCATTCAGGGGGGTGGAGCCAGGTGGGGAAACTGAGGCCCAGCGCACTCCATGGAGAACCTAGAGAGGAACTTAGAGACATAAGCCACTGCCCAGTCTGAGATGTTCAGGGAGAGGGACCAGATGGAGCGCCCAGCAAAGGGGGCGAAGGGAAGGAACCCCGAGAGGAAACTGAGGCACAGGGAGGGCTCAGCCAGCAGACAAGCCTCCGGTTGGAGCCAGTCCCGGTGCCCACGTCCCTGCTCCTGGGAATCCCTGAGGCGTTTGTGGATCACTGACCAGCTGAACTGAGAGAAGGTGGCGGAGAGAGAGAGGTGGGGGCCGGGCGTGGAGGCAGGGCCATTGGTGGTGCAGGGTTGAGGTCTGGGTGCCCTGGACTGTCTGCAGTGAGAGCTGCTGAGCTCCGTCCCTGCTGGCGGCTGAGCCACGTGTGTCCCCTGCCCAGGGAAACCACTGCAATGAAAGGCCAGAGAGGCTCTGGGTGAGCCTGGGCTGCCTGCACCTCAGGTGCCTCTTAGTTCCTCCTCTGCCCCAGGGGGTATATGTTAATGCTCTTCCTGACTCATAGGGCAGAGGCACTGAGGGCCACAGAAGGGCCGGGGCTTGCCAGGGCCCCACAGCCAGCAGGTGGGGAAGCAGGTGTGACTCCCCCGCACGCACTCGCTTTGGGCTTCCTGGGACAGGGACTCGGCACTTCCTCGCTCGGTGCCTCCGTGTTCTATTTCTGTAGGTGGACACCCAGGGAGGCCACGCCTGCTGGGCCAGGGTCGCAGCGGGCAGGCTGAGCAGCCATGACCTCCTGCTGGTCCCCAGCGTCGTAGCTGGACTTGCTGTGTGACCCTGGGCAGGTCCCCCCCACCCCTCTGGGCCTCCGTTGCACCCTCCTGTGACATGAAGGCAGATTGGGGTCCCCGCCCACGACTGCCCTCTCAACCTCCTCCTTCCACAGGTCTGGGAGCAGTGACCCCTACTGCATCGTGAAAGTGGACGACGAGGTGGTGGCCAGGTGAGCAGTGGAGGCCGGGCTGGGGCCGGGCGAGCAGGGCCGGGGCTGGGGGAGGGGCTCCTCCTAGGCCTGGGGAGTCCAGGCACAAGAACCCACCAGGAAAAGAGGGGCCGGGGAGGGCGATGCTCACCCCAGCGGCAGACTTGCAGCCTGATGGTGGTGCTTTGTGACCTGGCCCCGGACCGGACAGCTGGGGCCGCCAGCTCCTCTCCCCACCCAGCCCCAGCTGGCCCGCACCTTCCCCCTGGACTTGACCATGTCCCTGCTGGCTCCCCGGGGCTGACTCAGCGGCTGCCAGCCTGTGCCTCCCATGGTGGCCTCCCCCGGGGCGGGCATCTCACGCTTGGCTGGGCTGGCTGGTTCCGGGCCTGCTTGCTGGGTGCTGCGGGCACCAGGCTCTGTGTGTGTGTGTGTGTGTGTGTGTGTGTGTGTGTGTGTGTGCGCCTGCGCCCAGCTGGCCTGCTTGAGTGTCCATGGGGGTGTTGGAGGGCTGCTGTCCAGATGGACGTGTCCCTGTGGGAATGCAGGCTCACTATGTGTCGCAGTGTGTGGTGTGTGTGCATGTGTGCCCACACACACGGATATGTGTGTGTGTGTGTGTGTGTGCGCCTGCGCCCAGCTGGCCTGCTTGAGTGTCCATGGGGGTGTTGGAGGGCTGCTGTCCAGATGGACGTGTCCCTGTGGGAATGCAGGCTCACTATGTGTCGCAGTGTGTGGTGTGTGTGCATGTGTGCCCACACACACGGATATGTGTGTGTGTGTGTGTGTGTGCGCCTGCGCCCAGCTGGCCTGCTTGAGTGTCCATGGGGGTGTTGGAGGGCTGCTGTCCAGATGGACGTGTCCCTGTGGGAATGCAGGCTCACTATGTGTAGCAGTGTGTGGTCTGTGTGCATGTGTGCCCACACACACGGGCTGCCCTGTACACACGTGCGCACCGCTGCCTGCTTATTGGGGTGCACAGGCACCAATGTGAGCACATGTGAAGGTGTGAGGGTGTTGGATGTGTGAGCGGGACTGGGCAGGGGGGACATCGGGCTGGGTCATGCTTGGTTCCCACCCCCCGCAGGCCGATCAAGGGACAGCTCTCAGCCCCCGCAGGCCTGAGGGGTGTGGGTGGGCGGATGGCTGAGGCCTCGGTTCCTATGGAGACAGCAGGATTCAGGATGCCGCTGGCGAGGTTCCGGTCCAGATGGACTGGGAGCTGGGGGCAGGGAGCCCATATGGGGGGAAGGTCAGCCTACAGCACCCAGCTGACCCCCTCCATCGTTCTCTCTGTGCTCATGCCGCCCCCTTCCCCACAAACCCACAGGCTGGTCACCACAGGCTGCTGTCTCCCCCTTTCTGGGCGTGGAGGAGCATCCCACCTGTGGGGCTGGGGAGGGACTTCCAACTGGGAAGAGGCAGGGTTAGGGGGAGGAAGTGTCCAACCGATGGTCGTGCCCTGGGCTAGAGGGCAGAGTGTGGTGCATGTATGCCTGCGTGTGCACACTCACGCTCTGTTGGGAAGAGTGTGTAAAAGGAAGATGGGAGTGGCAGGTGTGCCAACCAGATTTCACAGCCATACGTTCAGGTGTGTCTTCACTGGGCACGGAGGTTCTTTGTTCTCTGTTGGGTGCAGGGAAGGGGGTCTGCAGGGGTGCCGGCGTGAAGATGCACTATGGGTATGGCTGTGCCTGAGGTTGTCTTGTCCCTAACCCTGCCCCAGTTCCCCCTGGCTTACTGAGTGCTCTGGCTCCTGCTGACTTAGTCTTCTAGCCCCTCACCCTCCTCCCTTTCCAACCAGCACCTTCCTGTTCCTCAAGAGTACCGAGCTCATCCCTGCCTCAGGGCCTTTGCACATGCTGTCCTAGCCACTGGGATGCTTGTCCTCATCCTCTCTCCCCACTTTGCCTGACTAGCTCTTGCAGGAAGCCTCTCTGGACCCCTCCAACCCCCCACTCCCAGACCCAACCAGGTACTAACCACAGCACAGGACTCTCACTGTGCCATAGAGCTCGGGAGAGTGCGCCTGGCTGCTGAGGGGGCTCGGAGGGAGCATGGGCCTTGGTGTCGCTACCGATTCCCCCAGAACCCATGTGCCGTGGCACCCAGTGAATGCATGAATGGATGGATGGACGGAATCATGCGTGTTGTTAGTTACTGTTTGTGTGATTCTACATGTGTGCCTGCTGTGTACGTATGTGTGTCTGTGGGTTTGTGACTGTGTCTGTCTTCTTTGTGTGTGTCCACATGTGTCAGTGTGTAGAAACACATCGATTTGTATTTCTAGAAGTTTCTGAGGCTGCATATGTGTGTCTGTGTCTCTGGCTTCCTTGGTGTATCTATGAATGTCTGTTTCAGTGTATCCCTGTGGGAGTGTGTGTGTGTGTGTGTGTGTCTGTGCCCGTGCATGTGCACCTCAGTGCCCAGGTGTCTGTGGCTTGTGTGGCCCAAGTCCCCCCAGCCCCCTGTGCCCCCTTTTGTAGGACAGCAACTGTCTGGCGGAGCCTGAGCCCCTTCTGGGGGGAGGAGTACACGGTGCACCTGCCCCTGGATTTCCACCATCTGGCCTTCTATGTGCTGGACGAGGATACGGTCGGGTATGTGTGCTGGGGACCCACGCCTGGCATCTGAGGGGAGGCGGACACCCCAGAGCAAAGTATCCACCTACCTGCCCACCCTCGATGCCTGTCCCTTTCCTGACCTGGCCCCTCCCCTGCTCCCTTCCCACAGGCATGACGACATCATCGGCAAGATCTCGCTGAGCAGGGAGGCAATTGCCGCTGACCCCCGAGGTGGGCGAGGGGCGCCGGTCCTCAGCCGGCAGAGGGAGGAGGGGTGGCCATGCCCAGAGTGGGCGTTGCAAGGGCAGAGCAAGTGTCACGAGAAGCACAGTGCCCTCCCTGGGAAATTATTTCCGTTCTTGTTTTTAGACAGGACAGACATGTGGGGGTGGCGGTATGTGGAACATCACTGGTATGACAGGGCAGGGGAGGAGTGGGCAGGTGGTCCATGAAGGCTTCCTGGAGGAAGGGGAAGGAGTGGGGCCTTAAAGGTGCTTTGGCAAAGAGGCGAAGGCCCATCTCCATGGATTCTCTTCTAGGGTCAGGCGTGGGCCGGGCCAGATGGAGTATTGTGTGGGGGTTGATTGGAGATGGCCCTCAGTGCCTGGACCTTTTCTTGGAGGTACTGGGGAGCCATTGATAGTCCTTGAGTGAGGCAGCGGAGAGAGCGGAGCCGTATCAGAGGAGGATAGACTGACAAGAGAGATCAGATACATTTTCAGATCTCTGTGCTGCTTGGTGGACACGGGATCGCAGTGGGACAGGAGTAGAGCTGAGAGATCAATTTGGAGTCGGTGCAATAATCGAGTGAGAGAAAGCTGACGGCATCCTGCACTTGGGGGTTCGAGTGGAGATAGAGGTGAAGTGGGACTTTCATTTCCAGCAGCCCGGGGGCACTCCACCTGCAGAAGGGCCCTCCTGCCATGTGACAGGGAGCTCCTGAATTAGATGTGATTCCTATTGTTGGACTTGCTGTAAAGAAGAAAAACTGCCCAGTATTCTCCTCCCATCCCCCAATCGTCAGCAAAACTTAACGGGGAGCGGTGAGCAACAGCGAGGGAATAAGGAAGGAGTTCCCCGAAAGTCAACGTCAGTATCTAATCTGCAGTCAACAGACTAAATCTTGAGCCGGGGCGGAGGCAGACGGTCCGACCCTGAGACGCGTCCATGAGACCGAGGCCCTTAAAGAGGCCCAGAATGAGCAAGCAGCTCTCGTCTCCAGGGATAAGTAGCCTCATGCTCCGTTTCCCACAGAATGAGATCAAACAAACATGAATTCACAACCAAAGACCATCACACACACAACGCTTAGGACGTGGTAGGTGCTTAACAACTGCTAACGCCTGTGCCCTCCAGGAATTGACAGCTGGATTAACCTGAGCCCCGTGGACCCAGATGCCGAGGTGCAAGGTGAGATCTACCTGGCTGTGCAGATGCTGGAAGGTGTGCAGGGCCGCTGTCTTCGCTGCCATGTGCTCAAGGCCAGGTAGGGTCACGGCGTGGGGTGTAGGCGGTGATCTGAGAATGAGCAGGGACCAGCAACCAAAGGCCAGACACTCGGGATGGCCAGACACGAGCGAGGAGGTGTATTAGTCACAGTGTGAGCAGTAGACACCCAGTTCATACGGACTGAGGCAGACTGTCTCATATGAGTGACATGTAGCTTCAGGTATGGCTGGATCCAGGTGCTCAAAGGGTGACATCAGGACTCTGTAGACACAGATTTCCTCAGCTGTCTTTTGTGTTAGCTTCATTCTCAGTCTTTCCCCAGGTGGGGGCAACGATGGCCCCAGCAGCCTCAGCTGCCATCCTAACAACTTGGCAGCCCCAACTGCCATTTCCAACCAATGTTTTGGGAGCATTTCTTATTGGCTCATGCCTGCCTCTGAGTCAATTAACTGACTGGTTGGTCAGGCCTGAGTCACAGCCCTTTCCTGGAGTGGAGGTAGGGATCAGCCCCGAAGAGATCACGTGGGCTGGGAGTGAGGTGGGGAGGGGTCCTGCCCCAAAGAAACATCTGGAGGAAGACAGATGCGGGACCAGCAAACCCCACAGTGACCCTCCAGGGCACCAGCTCATGGGAGGGCCCTCACTCCTCCTGCCTGCTTATCACTCTGTAATCCCCTTTCTCTCTCTCTCTGAGCTCCCCCATTATGCTGCTTCCTTAAATACTTTCTCCCATTCCCCTCTTATCTCCCATCTTGTCTTTCTGCCTTTTTTTTTTTTTCACACCTACTCCCCCAACCTTCCCTTTTAGGCTGATTCTTGCCAAGGTTGGGGAGCATCTCAATTTCTAGTTTGCTGCGTGACTTTAAGTCCTTTCTTGCCCTCTCTGTGTCTCTCCCACCACCTCCAGATTTCTGTCCCCAGCTGGGGATCCCTGGAGTCTGGGTGGAGTACTGGGGGCGGCGGGTGGGGTAGGGGGAGAGGAGAGGCAGGGGACAGGAGACAGGACTCAGTATGGGACAGGGCTCCTTATCTGCTGTTCGCCCAGGGCCTCCTCCCCAGCCACAAGGCTGTGCAGGATTCTTGCAACAGGAAAGGAACCGATTGCTGTCGCTTAGCAACTGGGCTGGCTCCTAGGAAACCAACGAAGGCTTTGGATGCTGAGCATGGGTGGGAGAGGAGCAGCAGGAGGAAGCTCCTCTGTGGGGGGCGGGGGTCCCTGGATTTGGGGGACCTCAGGAGGAGGCGTGGGGAAGGCGGATTGGGGTGAGACTCTGGGGTTGTCATGACAACCAGAGGCAGGGGTCTCTGTCTCATCCTTGTCTTGGGTCCTAGGCAGGTGTGGGCATGGTGCTTGTTGAGTGAATGACTGACCTGAGCCCCCACCAGCTGCCAGCTGCCCTGCTGAGCCCTTTCCACGCGTCATCTCGTTTACTCTCGGCCCCTGAGGTTGGTCGGTTATCACTCGCGTTTTCCAGATGAGGAAACCGAAGCTCAGGAGGTAACCTGGCTATTCATTCCCGTGTCGCCCAGACAGTGGAGCGCAGAGCCAGGCTTGGAGTCCTGGCCTCTGGTCTCCCATCCA